TTTTACCTTCAGTATAGGATAATGATGTTTCGTTGTCCAAGCCTTCATCATCTGTGCTATACTAAATTCTTTTTTCTTTTGGATTGGCAATTTATCATGGGCAGTTTGCATAGCTGTCCAGAAATTGTCGAGAGTTGCAGATCTATATTTACTAAATTTGTAAAATTTAACATTATTTGCAGTAAAAACATTGTATAATTTATTTTAGGATAAAATATAATTTTACTATCTAATTTTACACACAATAAGAATTAAGTTACAATAAAATTTACATAAATGCATTTTTTCTTCTTTAAATTTGATATGTAGCTTTATTTTCTATTTTTTTTTAAATTTTAGTAAAGATAAATATAATTAAAAGTATTAAAAATGAATGAGTGAATAGGGCAACGTCTTCTGTTAAAAGGTAAATGGACGTATTAGGTAAATTAGAATAGATGGAAAAATACGTGAATGAAGAATAAATAGAATAATAGGAAATAATGCATGGAGAAGCAAATGGCATAAATAAATGAATAGAGCAGAATATAAGAACCATTTTATAATAAAAACAAAAACAATAAAGGAAATAATTGTTCTATAAAATTATATTAAAATTACAAAATTAAATTAAATTAAATTAAAATTAATCAAATTAAAATTACTCTATTTTATAATAAAGGAAAGCACACATACACAAAACAAAGAAAACATTCTATATGGAATATTTAATTATCATATGTATTATATCAGATTCTTTAATCTGTAATTATATTATTATAATTATTAAATAATTACTTACTAGGTGTTAAAATATATTTCGATACCCTTCTTAAACACATCATCAGAAAGTACATGTTGTAACATGCGCAAAACTGCAAGCGCTGTAACGATTTACATTATAAATGTAATTAGAAATGTTTAAGATAAATCTCTAAAATAAATTTTAGCGTTTATAAACACGTGAACAAAACTGATTTTTGTAGACAAAAATTAATTTTATAAAAGTTTTTTATATATAATTACACAATATATTTTTTTTATACCAAAATTATATATAACTAAGTTTTAGATAAAAAAACGCTAGTGTTCTCTGTTCTTTTATTATATCTACATTCAGAAATTTATGTAAATAACAATATAATTATATTTATTTAATCTTACCTTTGACGTAATGAGAATGAAAAAAAAGTGAATTAATTTCAGAGGGACTGTTAACTTGCTGTAATGTTAGAGGCTTCATAATAAAATTAGTGTCCAAATGAAGAGATTCATATTGATTTTGGACTATAGATAAATCGATTATCCGGGAATTTGGAAGAATCTAGAAATAAAAATGTTGATATTAATATTAATCAAATAAATATTCCATTAAAACGTATTAGCCGTATGTATAAGTATAGTAATTATAATTTGCTATTATTGTAAATAGATTTACAATTTTTAAATATTATAGTTAAAAAATATAGTAAAAATTTTCCAAAACTTTTACAAGTTCACGAAATTATTCTGGCAATAAATTAAACGTACGTGCAATTTCTGATTGGCCTAGTAGATTTTATAGAAATTGAATAAAATCAAATAAATGATACATTTTTACTTTTAACAGATAAGAGAATTTAATAGAAGTATGAAAAAAATATATAAAAAAAACAGACCTTATTGAGGACTTCTATCCCGATCAACATACTAATACCATCGTTTAACCAAAGATAAGACCACCACGATGAGCTGACCGTATTACCAAACCACTGTTGCATCATTTTGCATGCTAATGAACGCGCTATCTTTATTTTGCACATAATAGGATCATTTTCTTTGTAATAAATGTTATCGAATTCTCTAAAAAGTGTTAAGTTTTTAATATAAGCATGCACAGTTTCATTGTTTTATAATTTAATTATATATTATTTCAAAAGAGAAGTTATTAATTCAAAATATTTGTATCATAAATTCATTGCTAAATCATAATAAATTTTATTTTTAAGAAAAATAAAAACAAAATTTTGATATACTTAAATAAATAAGAAATTTATCTTAAAAAATTTTTAAATATATATAATTACATATATTACCTGAGAATAATGTTTCCCCATTTTGCTATGTCATTGTTTGCCACGTACGGAATTATAACGAACCGTTTCGTATACGATTCTTTTGTTAAATAATTCCATTCGGATTTTAAATACTGTGTGATATTCTTTGCAATTTGTGCTACAAATTCTACATGAGTATTCGCATCATATCTATAATACATAATCAGGACTTTCGGCGACTTTGAATACGAAGTTATAAAGGGAAAGGTATATATACTAAGCATCACGGAATGAGTGGGCATTCTAGGACTAGTCATATAAATTGACCATCGCGCTTCATGCTGGTTGTATATTGTATATACGTCCATATTCGATATGGAATCTACCCCGCTGATAGTAAAATTATGACGTAAAGCAATGTTAAAAGTAGCTTTTAAGTTTGGTTCATCCCAACATGGAAATATTTGACGAGCTCCAAGTGCTTGAAAAAATGTTATAAACATCGGCCACCTACGACATTTTAATAGTCTGCTTAATAAAAATTTTTAACCATTATAAGAACAAAAATATGAAATATTGTAAAATATATAATATAGAATTTATTTTACAAATTTATATATGAATATTTAAAGAACAATTTTCTATGTTCTTTATTTTTAGCATATTATTATTATATCTTTTACTACAACAAATAATAATATTTTTACAGAATGAAATATACACCTTATATAATAGTTTATATAATGTTAATTGGAAAATATTACAAAATAAGCTGGAAATATTTAAAATTTATCTGATATCAAAAATTTTGATTTAATTCTAATATATATCTAACAATAAATTTGAGAGATTTTTATATCTTGTAATAAAAAAATGCGATAAAATCAAGCTTTTCCTCGTTGAAATATTAATTCATTGTTGTTATGTAAAAATATTTGATTTATTGTATTTAAATTTCCAAAAATTTTTTGTATGCTTTTGAAGAAATATATTATATTTTAGTAGTAATATTTCATTAAATGATGTTTTTATAGCTTTTAAGAGATTTAAAGAGATTTGTGAATAAATTGTCTATATAGTGTTTTATAATAATATATTTTTAACATCTCTTAATATTTAATTACCTTGTCGGTGTTGGTGGTGCAATGGTGAACCTTTTATTCGCAATATATTGTACCATATTGTAGAAATTTTCCTCGTTATCAACAGTGCTCTCAAACATCATTTTCAATGTGTATTTTCCTCGTGGCAATTCAGTGTCGAAGTGAAGAACGAGAATGTGGGATTCATAATTATAGGATTTTTTCGTTAAATTACCGATTACGAAGGTTCCTTTATGAAATCGTCGTAATAATGCATAATCATGTATCTTTACATAAGGTCTTTGTGCATGAAAATCTATAGTCCTCGTTGGACGAAGGGTTATGAAGTCGATATTAATATTCCCATAAATAATTGGAATTTTTTTTTCCTTAACAATTGGAACGAGCCAGATATCATAGTGCTTCGGTATTGTATAATTTGATAAACGATAATTATTATTGGTATCGTTGATGATGTCCTCCGGTAAGAGAGCATCCGGTAGACGACTTAAATTGTCATGGGTGTCGGGAAAATATGTTTTAAGATTGGAATAATCGATAGAATTATATGACGCACTAATGATTATTAGTCCGCTATTTAATAACAGTGTTAGAAATGCCGTGCCCGTTTTCATTTTAGTTATCTGCAAACATTTTTTATTATTTTTTTTTGTTAAAAAAATACGAATAAAATGCAAGAGAGTGAAAAGGAAATGGATGGATAAATACAAGGAAAATTATAGTTACTTTTATCAAGAAGATATATAATTAATATAAATTTATAATATAAGATATATAATTTAGAATAAACTAGAAATTTTTGTATGAAACTTTAAAATACATAATGTGCTAAGCTCTTATTCACATTTGCGCTAATAATATAATTAATTTTATTTTTGAGACTTACTTTTCGCTAATGTAATTTTAACTTTACTAGATATTCTGTAATAATAAATTGCTGCACATTACGCGCCATAGACAGACAATAAAAAAACAATAATAACAAAATTGATATCATCTAATAAAATATGTTATACAAAGGAGGAAGAAAGGGGAAAAAATATATTTTTTAATTATGATTTATATTATGACTTTCTGATCTATATATCCTATATATGTATATATGCACAAATTATTCCGAAAATAATACTATAAAATAGCAAAAAAATTACCGTAAAATTATATAGGTATTACTTTGTTATTGTTGATAAAACATTTATTAAAAATAGCATCTATTTGATATTAAACAGATGCTAAAATTTATTTGTTTAATGCTATAAAGTTTATTAACATTTTTTTTACTGATATTACATATATATTTTTATATAGCAAACTGTATCATTCATCAAAGCAAAATTTCTCAAGATCTTTATAATTATTTTATAATTATTTATCATTATTTAATATTTATATAAAGTTTTTTATATTTATTAATTCAAAATTAATGAAGTAAAGGGAAATACACACATTAGATATAAAATTCGTCGTTTCGCGAGAAATTGAAATTTATAAATATGATCATAATAGAGCAGGATATTTATCAATATGATATCTTCAAGGTACCTTCGGTTTATATCTTTTTTCTGTGAGGGAGATAAATATATATTAACCGAACGAAATGCAAACTATGTCTATGACAAAAACATTTTTATCGCACAAATATTTTAATTTCGCAATTCCTCTCATTGTATGTAATATTAATAACAATTAAATGGGAAAACTGGCAGATAAGAGCCAAGGGGCGGGTATTGGTACGCAAACTTATTATTGTTAAATTTTATTAACAAATGTGCAAAATGTATATTTCGGACCGTTTTTTGGTCCATTTTCAACATGGATATAAATATATAAAGATTACATTGGAATTTTAAAATCTGATATACGCAATATATTTGTTGCAATCAAATTTCAAAACTTCCGAAACATACATTTTTAATGCACATTTGTTAACAAAATTTAACAATAATAAGCTCGCGCACCAATATCCGCGCCTTGGCTCTTATTTATCAGTTTTCCCACTTAATTGTTAGTGCTCTGAGCCTATTGCTGTTATTATTAATATTAATAAATTTATAATATATATGGATGCATTTCGAAAATATCGTAATCGTATAGATCAATTCAGGCTAATATCGAGATATGAATTATAAATATATTGCTAATTTGATTAATTTGATAAAGTACTGACAATTTAAAATAAAAGTTTCGGTTACATACATTTTAAGCTAATATAAGATTTCTAGTATTGCAGTAAGAATAATGTATGTGTGCGATGGACGCGATATAAAACTGCTAACAAAATTATATCTGATATATTAAGTCTTTAATTTGACGTATTAGTCTTTTAATCTAAACTGTAAATCCTTTAAAAAGAGAGTTTAAATTGTGTATATGTTTTTTTGTACTTAAAAAGGATATATGTCAATGCAAGTATTTTGCTTTTGATAACTCACCCTGTATGTGGATAATATATACCGACTGAAGTATTTCTTTGCAACGATTAGCTGCAGTTAATTCATTATCATTAAGAACTGCTAATGCCAAAAGGATATCTATATAATCGCGCGATATTATCACTCGAAGAGACTGCCGAAAACTGACAACGCTATCGGTACCTAATGTTATTATTTATAAGTACGCAATGTTACGTATGTAAATTCTAAGGTCGTTGACGATCGTTTGGTCAACAAACACAATCGAATGTCAATACGTAAGACACAAATAGACTTATAAATTTAAAATAATATATATCTTTCTTGTAAAATTAGTATTTCTAAAAGAAAGACAAGTTAACAAAAAATTCTATTTCATATTTTTATAGTTTTTTCTTCGTAAAAAATTATTCACATGACTTACTCACAGCAATTCACTATACGTACATCTTGTATAAAATAACAAGATGTTTAAAAGCAACGAATTTCTTTTTTTATACATTTTTTGGTCCTAATCGAACCAGTTTATCGATTAATCTGTACTAACTCGCGTGTGCTTTTATTAAATCATTATAAAATTTAATTTTTTAAGCCTTACGCATACATACAGACATATATAAAAGAAAAATTGTAAATATTTCTTAGAGGAATTTAATATATGTTCTGAAATTCTTTTATAGATCCATTTTAAGAATTGTGAGGAATGTATTTCATAAGAATTCTAATCTAGTCCAACTTGTGTATCATATATAAATTTATTCATAATTTTATTTTTGTCTAATGTGTACGTACACGTGATAAACAAATAAGAAATAGCAATTTTTACACGTATTTGTGTCTCTATAATGATTTTTAACAGAATAATCTCTTGATTGCTAACAATAAGATAAAAGCAATATAAGCAAGAAAATAATAGAAAAAAAGCAAAACTAGTTGAATGGTTTCAAGTGAACTAACATAACACGTATGATATCGGAGTATGAAAATTCTTTTTATAGTGATCGATTAGTTTTGAAAATAAATTACAGAATTTCGAAATGTGTACGTGTTTACATTGATTATTTTGGTATCAAATAAAATAATATATATTTTGTATTATACAAAATATCCTGCAAAGATTATAGAAATTTGATATGTAGACACTCATCTGTCTATACTACAAATTATGCAATCAGAGAGTTTGAGTTTATTTAACAGAATAAATCTCTTATTTCATCTATATTTTTTCTATGTTTCTGTATATACAATGATACTTTATGAACGACTTACTGGTGACATTTACTGAGATATAAATGTCATTTTTAAACTAATATTAATCACAATATTCATCTTGGAAATAATTAACACGGTCATTTATAATGCGAGGAACAATTATAATATTTGTTATAATTGTTGCAATTATGATAATTAAGGGATACAGCTTAGCTTATATAACTACTTATAATACATAAATCAAATTACATAAATCAAATAACAAAAGGACTATTCACATCTAAACGTAACACGTTGTACGAATGTTGTTGACTGAGTTCGTGTATTTGTTCACGAAGCTAAAAGACAAAAAAAAAAGAAAGAAAAATAATAAGAGTTTAATATAACGCACGTATGCTGCCTTCGCGCGTGAGACAATCATTTCATCGTTCTTATTCGATAAATTGTCGTAACGATTGCGAGACTTTTAAAATTATCTTCGATGCACGCCGCGCATCTCTTATATCACGACTACACCACGTATAGTTATAACGGTGGTGACTTATTGCGCTAGCGCTTTGCACTGTTTACAATTTTCCATTCGTTCGTTAAATTCCTCTATCTGTAGCGTCATCTCGAAGAATTTGTATTTGTCGTGGATATTTCGCGTGGCGGTGCGTAAGATGTTCTGGGGGCTCGCACCAGGTTCTGCAAATAGACACATCACATTATTTTAGTAAGAGATAAGTGGCATGAAATAATATATGAAATGGATACAAATAATATTCTTAATTATGCGTGTATATTGTTAGGAAGAATTTATAAAATTTATAAATTTCTCTTTAAGTCAGAAAACATAGAAACTTAAAGGTCTATTGAAAGATAAACTTAAAGATCTACTAAAAGATCTCTCAAGAATGTAGATGTTAGGACTCTAAAAATAAAAATTTCTAACGTCCCCTGACAACATACGTTATTTTAAGACTCAAGAATAATTGAGTTGCATAAGTGAAATGCATAAATAAGAAATATCGAGATGCGCCGACAAGGCAGTCTTGTCGAGCGAGAGAGCCCAAATTCTAAGATTATGGACTTTAACAACTCCATCTATTTGCATGAACGTGCTTTCCACTTGGGAATACTCGAAACCCTTGGGAATTCCCTCCATCAGGACGTTAACTACGTCCTTAATAATCGCTACAGTAGTGAGAATAACTAATATCGAGAAGAGAAACGTGCATATTGGATCGACTATGCTCCACGTTGGCTGAAATTTAAATTGATGTTTTACCTAATAGTATTTTAAGAGAACACTGTATAACATTTAAATTTATTCGTCGAATTACACACACATATATATTGTTTAATTTTTTATATGTAAAAAATAAATATAATGGACATAATAATAGGAGTTTTTAAGATCAAATCTTTAATTTTTGTGAATAAAAATTATGAAAATATGTGTGTAATTCATAATAAATTACATTAATGAAAGTTTGTTTGATACCTTAAAATAAATAATTAATGCAGCAATGAATACTCCCACACTTTGAATAAAATCGCCCAAAACATGAATGAAGGCGGCGCGCACATTGATATTTTTTTTCGAATGTTCCCCTTTGAGATCATCATCGAGCACATTTTCCACGTCATTATTCTCACCGTGATCGTGTCCACCGTGACTATGGCCATGTTGATGCAACGACAGGCCCATTCTACAATGCCAAATTGTTTACTGTATACATCTCTCTTTAAGAAGAGAAAATGCAAGTGCAGTTTCGAAAATTCTACTACAATTGATACACTGCATTTAAATATTTGCGTACATTTTTAATGAATCTTTTAAATTAAATAGCTGGCATATAATTCTGTCAACTCTTGTCTCAGTCAATTCTTAAAACATAAATTTCTCATTAAAAATGACAGATTTATATTATAACTCTCTGACTACCATTACCGGTGATTGCTTAGAATGATTCGATTGACGTTGCATTATGCGCATTATAATTCCGATTGTTATTGAAATTTTGGAAACAAACAATATTATGAATTATATTATACGTGAAAGCTGTCGCAAAACCGCGCAAAGCATTAAATAAATATTATCGTTAATAGGGGTATCACTAACACTAGATTTACCGCAACACCAACTGCAGATGTGATTAGCATCACTGTCGCATTCAACTCGAAATCTTTGTGGACAATCCTTTCAATCGCGAGGTAGAATAAAATGCCAGTGACCACCCATATTAATAAAACCGAAGTTAACGCGCCGATAACCTGAATTAACATATAAAAAAATTTATTAATTTTAACACATACACCTGATTATTATTAATCTCTATTTATATTAAGTTCATGATTTTTATTTATTGTTAACATTTATCATATTTTCTGAATTAAATTTGTTATATGTATATAAAAAAGAGCATTATTATAATTATATAATATTGCATATATAATATATATTAATATAAATTTGTCGTTTTTTATTAATATTTACTATTTAAGATTATATATTATATATGTACTACTTACTTCTGCGCGATACCAACCAAAAGGCATTTTCCTGGTGGCTGGTCTGCCCGCCACCCAGATAGAAAAGAGAGATATCATAAATGATGCAAAATCAGTCAACAAATGCGCAGCATCGGTCGCTATCGCCAAACTATTCGATAATACTCCGCCTGAGGAGAGAAGTTCACGAATAAACGACACAATTAAACGCCTGCCTTCGTAAATAAATTCTACAAAATATTTCTTTGTGCTTTGATAAGGTCATCAGGAATTTTGTTTTATATTACCGATGATTTCTGCTATCATGAAAATGACGCAGAGCACACTGGCGATCAACAACTTCTTTCGGGCCTTCTTGTCAATCTCCTCGTTTCTCTCCCTGTGACAATGATCTTCCGGGGATACTGAAAATATAAAAAGAGAGTGAATAATATTTATTCAAGAAAATAGTTCAAAAATTTTAACTCTTACATAATTATTAAATATCACAATTATTTTGCAAGATATATATTATGCTACAAATTTTTAAAGCGGGCATTATAGATGCAAATTTCTCTGCATACATTAACTTTATTTAACATATGACCCATATTTATCACACATATACACATATAAATATATTTAACTTACATTAAAATGACTTTTAATTACATATGCACTATTCAATATTCATTTAATTATTACTAATTTTTATTTATCTTTTTAATATAATAGCAATTTTTGGGTTTTTCTGGAAACTTTTTTTATTTTTATTTAAAAAGGCCAATTAAAACAATATTTTTTATAAATATTAATTATTATTATTTTTCTTGTTCTAATATTTTTTATTTTTTTAAATATATCGTCACACACAACTATTTGTCAAATAAAATATACTTAAAACGTACTCTGATTCTGCTGACAGTCCATAACTGCATTTTCATCAATAGAACTCTTCACCACCGTGCAACAGCCTGATAATTTTCCATGAACGCAAAAGATCACCTTCCGCGGCGACATTTCATTCTCCTCGTCTTCATTATTGTTTGGCGGAATGCTTGTTCCGTAGCCATAAATCGCTTTATCCTTGAATCTGTAATAAAAAGAATATTTAACTTTGTCATAAACACGTCGCTTACTTTAATCGCTTTCAATTGTTAAACAAAACGCTTTTGATTATGATTTCTTATTTATTAAAAAGATATTGTTTTACTTTTTTTTTCCCAATCTTATCGCGTGAACGCTGTCCATTCTTTCTTTCATGTTACGTAACGAAAAAAAGTGATTATTTGTTAAATAATTGCATACAAATCGTTGCTAAGGATCTAGAAATGAGGAAAAGTCTAATATTTGTGTTGAGTCACTATTTCTTAATAGATAAAGCTAGTTTCGTCTTTCAGGCATTATTTTATCAGTTTTATTTTATTGAAATCTTTTCCAATATACACCGAAATGATTTCAATGACAGTTAATTCGTCGATCAACGAATTACGATTTGGAATCACGTAGATTAATTATCTCTGATATCCTATGGTTCTCTCTCTCTTTCTCTCTCTCTCTCTCTCTCTCTCTCTCTCTTATATTATCTTAGATAAAATTTATATGTAGATACGACTTGTATACGCGCTTACCTACGTGATAAAGAGAAATGATATAAACATTTATGAAAAAAACAACATTTTGTTTCCTGATCAGAATCTGCAAAGATTTATTGAAAATTTACAATTCGCGTGCACAACTTTATTAATTAAACTTATATAACATAAGTTTTTTTTTAGTTTTTTATTAAAACGTTAGGCGGATTTTTCTCAAAATCCACAAATATATAGAAAAAAGAAGTCAGATAAAAAAAATGAAGATGTATACATTAATATTATGGTAGGAATATATTTTCATTATATCTTAATTAAACAACATTCTATCATAATTAATTCCATAACGAATATGATGAGAACGCTTGAATTTATAATATGTATTGTTGACAATGTTACACACGCTACGCTTTAATACGGTAACATGGTATTAAATACGGGTTACAGTTCTTATCGCGTTCTACAGAATACCATTATCTATCAACTAGATATCGAGATGATGCCGTATACACAAATATATGTATCTCTCGTACACATACATTCCCCTATCACTGGCTATGATTCAACGATGACGAACGATGCCGTGTGCAAAACCACACGATTGAAAATTATCGATAAAGACAATGCTTCATGTTATGTGCATTATTATATTGAAAAATGCACGAAAAAGATGAATAAAGTCAAATCTGAATCTTTCTCTCTTTCTCTCTCTGAAACAGAGAGATACACATATATATTTGATTTTTTTTAATTAGATAATTTAATGCATGTACAGAGTTTAATTTAAAACTTTATATAAAATATTATTATATACATATATATGATGTGTGTGTATATAATATACGTTTATATTTCAATTAATAATGTGGAGTTTTTAGATATTGTAAGATTGATCTGTGAATTGTAATAATTAATCGTCCTATTTTTTTCATAACGAAATTAAGTCATTAAAGTATGAGACTTATAATTCTCATCATATCGCGGATTATTAATTTCAATTTTTGTTCGCACCCTGATTTGAATTAAATCTGCACAATATTTGTATTCTTTTAACGGAATAGCCTTGGTCTCCATGGAGGCCACGCTATCCGATTTCGAGGATTTGTCCTTCGGTTAGACTAACCGAGAACTAATTACACCGTGACCAGATTTTTACGTGGATGGCTTCCATCGCTAAATCAAGGTGATCTTAGAAGCCCTTGAGTTTATAAGAGATGTGCAAGAATAATGGAAGGGCGATATATTTATCTTGAGAGTTGCGAAGGATATGTCTCGATAAAAGTTTCCCTTAAAATACGTTCGCCCCATTCGGTTTATCTTATTTTCTCCTACATGCTCGTCGATCAATGCGGAAGTGATAAACAGCTTTACAACTATACGGAAATTTCTCGTTTACTATCTTTTAAATAAAATCAATTTTTCTTGTATTGGATTTATCGATTTCCCAAAATTGATTATTTTGTTGTTGACAAGGAGACACAGACAATATTTCTCTCTCATTCTCTCTCGCAGCAATTACCATATTAAAAAATTGGCATTTATTCCAAAGTTTATCTAACAAAATAAGAATTATTTCCCTTCAGATCGTTCACTTGAATCATACTGTGCAAACGGTTGAATAATTTACATGGATTATTACCGCAAGCTCCTGGATAACCAGGTGGATTAAATCGACGACGATCGATTCGCTCCATGCATCGCCGTCGTCGTTATATCCGACACCATATTAGTTTCGTATTAATTATACTGTAATAATACGAGAAGAGAGAGAATCGCTCTCATGGACGTCGACAAGATGTTTTATAGAAAGTCAAAAAATAGTTGATGAAGAGTGACATAAGCTAGAATGACGGAAATTCTATAAAATTATTAGTTTCCTAATTTTAAAAAATTTCTTAGTATTTAATGAAACTTGAAAAATGTAAAAACGGAAACTAGATAACTGACAATTTCAATGAAAATAGGATTTGTAATCAAATGCACTTAATGCAAAAAACATAAAAATTCTCAAAAATGCGTTAATATTGTTTAAAGCAAAGGAGTACTTTTTTGAACTTTCTAACTAATTACTCTGAAAAATTCGAGAGATGCGAATGCATTTCTCGTTGTGGCGCCTATGATCGTCTCAGAATCGTATAATCACGATCACGCACGTGGCTACATCCTCCCGGCGACAAAACGTAATCGTTATAGCTGTAAAAATATTTGCTTTGCAAATGCTGTCACTTGGTATTTAACATGAAATAAAACGTATATCGACTTAACTGGACGGGTATGTTCGACAAAGATGAATTAGCTCGTAAAATTGAAACAAAACAAATTTCGCTGGGTGGACAATATAATGTAATTGCACTTACAATTTTGTATAGATTAGAAATTTTTTTATATTTTTATAAGATGTAATACGCGCGATATAATATCGATAATTACCGATCAAAAAAATTTGTGGCGTGGATGCGGTTTTACAGGCAGCACGTTCTGACGAGAAAGAGAAATCTTATCTGAGAACCGCGAACGCAATTAAACCGCGATCGTGCTTTAAATGCTCATTCATCCCGTAACCGATCGACAGCTGATCTCAGCAAGTCTTTAAAGAGGATAGTCCAACAAGATTATCTGTTTATCGGATACTACTGTCTGATGAATTTGTCATATGACACGGTTAAGTCAACAACTCATCACTTTATCACGCATACCTATTACTGATTTTTTAAAATATATTTTTGTAAAAGATCGTTTATAATTTTTTTAAATATATTTTATATTATAAATATATTTATATTATAATATATTTATAAATACATAGAAAAAATCTTGTTACATTATATATAGGAGAAATTTTATTATTTTAACCGAATGTGTAACTGCTTCTTAATCAATCTAGCATATACTTTTATTTTATTTCCAATTATTTAATAAATGAATGAATACAAGTCCATTCATGCTTTATGCAGATTGCTATGTGTAAACGGGTCGACAAAAGACATGAATATCAAAAAGTATTTCAAGGCTACGTTTTGAAGGCTCACGAACGCTAAAGCAATGTTTTCGGGTCACTCAAAACCGGTCCTGTTATTCCGACATTTCCATCAATATTATAGGAAATACTCTGTAACGAATAAAAACGAAGCGCGAAGATCATTAAAACATGCGCTCCTTTCTCTTATCATCTTCGCATAAATAATGAATAATTCCTAAACTATGCTTTACGGTTTACGACATAAATAGTGTTGCAATTTTATCTAAGTTCGATATACGGTATGTATTAAAAAAACATCTTGATCTTGCGGGGAAAACCAGAAAATGGAACAACAAACAAATTCCACGAAAGTTACCATGGGCAGAACGCGAAACGAGATGATCGTCCTCGTCTACGATTTCCTAATCGGAATTTTATTTCATAAGAGAAACTTTTTCGCGCACGAAAAAATCTCGGATCTCGTATAAAGATCAACTTAAAAGAAGATATTACGTAAAAAAATAACCTCGCTTTCTATCAAATAAAATTCTATACAAAAAATTGCACGTGTTATCTCGGATTGAATATAAACAATCTTTGGGAAACATCTGATCTGTTATTTTTGCGCACGAGAGAATTTGTCCCAACGGCTACGCTCGACCAGATTTAACGGAAAGAATCGTATGTTTTTTTTTTTTTTTTCTTTTTATTAATACTCGCTAAACTGGTTGCACGACCTCGCATTATGTTGGAGATCTTGTCGCGCGTGCGGCAAAGTGAAGGGGAATTTCTCGCGGCCTTGTTATTTGCACAGAACTATATTGCATGCCGCGCACACATGGTAATTGCGGTAATTTTGGCAATCAGCGCGCCGGTATTTTCCGACGCTTTTTATTCCGAGATGCGAAGAGACATTGCCCGGGGAAAGAGAAATCGAAGGGAGAAGCTTTCTCGTGTCGACGACACATCAACAGGTGAGTCTCGTCGAATGATGACTCGTTAACAATTATACGTATGGCGCTGCTATTGCTATCGCGACAAACGGTAAGAACATTTTTCATAATCTTTCCCCGATAACGAGATACTCTCGGATATTTCTATCGGATTCTCCAAGAAACTCTGCTGCGCAATACTGTATTCGGCATGATGTAATAATACATACTTCACAAATATACAAATTTCACAAGACCTGAAAACAATAAATAATATACGCGTTGTAATTTTCGCGGAGATTTCTGTTAATAATTCAAAAATAATTTGACACTTTGAGCTTTTTCCATGTAAGACAACTTTCGCTTTGGATATAAATAAGGAAATTGTCTAAGACTTTTCATGCGATGCTTGTGAATCATCGTGTAGACAACGTGTTATCAAAAAACTGCAATGATTAACGACACACTTGCAGGCACATAATTTCTCAAACTCCTCTCGCAGAACATTATTTTCCAATAAATTCCAACTAACGATCATGTTCCATATATTTTCTGTCTGCTATATGTACATGGTTCGCAGGAGAGAGTGCCTCTCGAGAATGTATCCGCGTAATAAAATATCACATATTTCAACAGTACTTCAAAAAGGATGAAGGAATCGAAACGTGGAATACGTGGAATGTATCTGAAGAGATCAATTGTACGATTGATTTTCCAAAAAACACTTCAATCGATTCCATCCCACTCAAGATTCTAACAGGGATATTTTTTTAAAAATCTAAAAAATTAATTCACGAATCACGTGAGAACAATTAGACACGTGACTAATCAAAACATGTCCACAGATATCAAATACAGCTCCGAAATAGAGTGAACCAAAATATTGCATAAATAACATTTATAAACCACATACCGGAAATAATAATAGTCTCCCGAAATTACTTCACGATCTCGCGAAATTTTTGCCGATCTCGCGCCGATCTCTCTGTTTTTACAACGATTATTTCAATCGTGAAACCGCGTCTCTCGCCTGTCACGCGCCGCGAAAGTAACGAAGGGAATACACAAAGAAAACTCACAGCTTGATCTTTTCGTCGTCCATGATCGAACTTTGACAGAGATGAAGAGATCGCGAGTCCAGTAGTCAGCTCGCGGTCTGCCACCAATGATCGCGCGATGAAATGGCACAATTCTTCCTCGAACAATCCGCCGTTTTGTCGAATCGTGAATGCCAGACGCCAGAAAAAAGAAAGATGAGAAGAAACGCGGGTGGAGGCGGCGGCGACGAGAAGTGAAACTATGTGCGTAATCAGCAAAGTCTTGTAACGTTATTGTCTTTTCGTCCCCCGGACCGTAAAGACGCGAGTGATGAACACGTGTCACTTGTTAAATGCGAACAACGAAAGTCCAGCCACGACATATCCGTGTCTTTCGTTGGAAGAGGACCCACGTCCGGCTCGGGCCCCTTCGTCCAACAGATAAAACGATTAACATCGAGAGGCCTCTCAGTCCATCTCTGTTTCTCTCTCTCTCTTTCTTGTATTTCTTCCTTCTCGATCCCTCTGTTTTTTCTCTCAGTTGGTCTGTCCTTATCGCAAACTTCCTCCCACTCAATGATGTCCCTCTCTCTTCCTTTCTATCTCTGCTCTTTTTCTGTCTCTGTCTGTTTTTTCTGTCTCCGTTTGATGAAGATATGTCTCGTCATAATCGAGACTTCGTCCCACACTTAAAATTCGAGATATGTAAAATGTTTCAATAGCTTATAACGTTAAATGCCTTTAAGGTCTCGTTTGAAAAAATAATTTGAATGTGAAAATATTATACATGGCTAAAAAAAATAACTGTTCTTTAGATGAAGGTCCTTTTCTTCTTATATATACGCTGTTCAGTCTTTGAAATTTAAAAGTAATCTCGGAGTTTGAAATAAGACACACTTAGCACATTTAATACACTTTGATACATTTCGAAACGCGAATTTTGGAATCTAACGCTTCAGTATTCTTGAATCTACGTTCATCATCTGTATGTTAATAAACGAATCGGCCGTTTATTAGATCCGCAATGGATTTAAGAATCGCGCGAATGACTCGTGCGATTTATCGACGAGCACGTTGCGATCGATTGTCATTCATCTTTCTCGTCTTCAACAACAATCGAACTATTTCCGATACTTGTTTTATCACGTTCATTCGAGAATCTTGAACTCGAGATATTCGGAAACGGGTTTTTCAAGAAATTGCTCGTCCAGTCTCGTGCAATATCTTTTTTTTCACGATTTTTTAAAGAGAACGATCTCCTCTTGAAGCTCGGTGATGTATTTCTCTCTACAAAAGATCACCGAGGTAATCGTAAAACAAGAGATTAATCCCATTAAATCTCCAGTGAACGAGACAACTCGGCGATTAGCGATCATGCCGTGGATCGCGGATCGAGACTGAACGAATGGAGAACGTGAAACGAACGGGAAACGTTTGCCACGTAACTTTCTACGTCCAGGAAAAGAGGCATTGCCGGCGCACGTGCTGCACGAACAATAAATCGATTCAGAGATTGTTGTATGCGTGCTGATTGCTCGAGGAAGCGGATTACGGAGCGGAGTATATCTCCTGAATAGAATGCAACCGCGCTAAATTGTAACAGCTGATGCTTTGATTAGCGCAATCGATCTCTAAAGAACTGATTTTAAAATTTTCAAAACGAACGTCCAAGCATCACGAGCAATTTTTTTGTCAATGATGATAAACTAATCTTATGAAGTCTTACAAGATGATACAGAAATTCAGATGGAAAGATTTTGGCATTTTTCGATAAAGATTTCAATATAAGGAGATTGGTGTAGATTTTCAAGTTTTCAAAAAAGATACAATTACATGGAGAAAAGAATAAACAACAAATTTACATAAATAAACGAGCGGGTAAATAGATAGAGTTTAAATATTACAAACATTCTTAAAAAATACATATATATGTTTTTTGTACGATTGTATCATATGCTACATGTTATGCCAGCACGTACAATTGCTCCTCTTCTGAAATATCTTCTGAAATATGAATATCGATGTAACATCTATATATTTATATGAAAAAGAGACAAAAAGGAGAGTCCAAAATAAAATTTTTAAAAAGAAGGCAGCACAATTCCTTGTACGTTCTTTTCTTTTCATTAATAATTTAGATTAAATCAAATTAAGAGAGATAGCAATAAGTTAAATTAAAACAAAACTAATGCTACTAAAAATGTTCTTTTAAGTTTTAGTTATATAATTAATTTTTTTTTATTTTGTTATACGAAAATCATATACATATCCGCATATTTTAAATATGGCATAAAGATTAAATAACCGTAGTTCTAAATACGCATGATATAAATACGAAATATTAAAAGTTATGCATTCAGTATATTTTTCGAATGCAGATGGTTTCACATCACAATCGATAATCATATATGTGCAAATACATGTTTTAAAATAACTAGAAAAACACCAATGTGTGAGGCTATTAAACTTTATCAAATAAGCTCTAAAGGTATATGTATAAATTGTTTTAATAATTGTTCTCTTATTATATAAGACCTTGAAGGAGGTCTTTTAAATTATCGATAAGTGTTTAAACTGATAAATAGAGATGAAAGTCAACACAATATAATGCGGAAATTTTAATTTCGATCATAGTTGATCTACAAATTAATTAACAAATCTTCAAATAAACAAATTTATATATTTTGAAATTGCGGCACGTGATTATGTAATTGAAAGCATTATTGAATTAAAATCTTCATTAGTTAATTGTAATTAAATTGGAATTATATTTGTCGAAATAAAATTAAAATTTCACAAACATGAGAAAGTGAAAGAACGCAATATAAATTTTTTTTTTAAGTTGTAAAGACTTTTTGAATAAGAAGATATAAGAGAGAGAAAGAGTATAATATATTAAATTTATTATTTACTCGTCGTCGATGCAGCTCAAGTCCATTTTCGCGGTGGCCAACATTCCGGTGCTGAAACGAGAACTATCGAGTGTCGGCTAGTGCGACAATGTTTTGTAATTCTTTCGGCGGTATATCGCGAGATTGGGAGTAGGGTTCCGTGCAACACAATTGGATACTTGGAGCTGTATTTTTTTTTTAATTTATACGGAACCGTGAAAAATGTTAAAGTGTCAATCAGAAAGAAATAATATTTTTCAAAAAATGACCTTTCTCTCCCCGCCCTTTGTCTCTCACAAAATAAATATATAAACACGATCATGCAATAAAAAAACGCTATAAAATGTTCATAGAATATTTAACGATTGGGCATGTCCCTGACGTTGCGCACAATTTAGCGCACAATTAAAATTTTTTAAATATAATATACTACGTTTGTATTATGATTGTAATGTTGTATTATGATAGTAATGATTATAATGTTAGCCTGAAGCTATGTGAAATTATTGTAAATATTAAATATTAACAAATTCCTGATGGCATTCAGCCAACAAACAAAATTGTTTTCTATTTATTATATGTTTCTATTTTTTGCCAAGAAGATGTTTGGTCGATATCCCATAACTGTCATGATCGAGTTTCAATTATAGATGAATTATTAGAGTATTTCCGATACCGTAAAAAAAACTTGATAATATGAAAGAATTTATTAATTTTATTCTATCAATTATTTTATTTTATCAGGACTCCCTTTTCTGTAAAATTAAATTTCGATTTCACAATATACACAATCATATACACAAAAGAATTGATTTAAATATTTATATATTTTCTCCTATTTAGTTGTTTCTTTATTCGCGGTCTTAACGAATGTTATTAAATTATTTGAATTTAAACTTAACATATTTGTTTAAATTAAAACATTATATATTATTTTATCATAAAGAACATATTTATAAAAAAAAAACAAATATACATTTTATGTGCATGATTGTCAAATACTTGACAAACTTGTCTATGAAGCTCATGTAAAGTTTTGTCAAGTGAGAGGAATTAATCGAGATTCTCTCTGTTGTGTAATAACAATAATAACACAATATACTATTATCGAAGCGTGACTTACTCATTGGCTTTGTTGTTTCGCTCAGCAATCTCTTGTTTCACAAAGCTGTTTCCGCTGTTTTCCATATCGCCCTGAAGTTACGAGGCGGATCGCGGATCGTCAATCGTTGGCGAGGAGGAACGTGAACGATGCGGGCGCGCGGACAATTGACAGAGGCCAAGCCGAGACGAGCCAAGTTGATCAGCGGCAAATCCGCGACAGCGCGTGGGTTACGATGCGTCGGGAGATGTCATTAGATGTGCGTGCGGCTTGGCTCTCTCCTGACGTGTTTACATATAAATATTATGAACGCGAGCGAGAGGCGGGCGAGGCGCGCGCAAGACACGACGATGACCCGGATCGGTGTCCGTTCGATTATCTTCTGTCCGTTTAACAAAGGCGCTTCTCTGATTTAATGCAGATGATGCAAAATGATCGATCTGCGTCGTTCCAATTTCACGCGTCCATCAATCCAGAGAATCGGGACAAATATGATATAGAATAAGTTCTTATCGCGAAAAATTGGTTTCTTTTGCGTCGTCAACATACGCTTGATCTTCGATCGCATGATCGTGAACGATAAGACGAAATTATTTCAAACGGTTGTCGTATCGTAATTCTAACGTTTTCACATCGACATGATCGAGATCGAGAATTATCGGATTATCAACGGGAATCTTTTTCGATTTTCTTCGGTCGTTTCGCTCTAATTCGCTTCGCCGCCGTGACCAAAATAAATTCTCTCAAAAGATACAATCATCATTAACGTATGAAATGAACCGTGTCGAAAAATGTACGCTATCTCGTAAAAACTCATCATTAATAATGGGATCAAATATTTTTTACGATCGCGTGAATATTATCTACGAATAAATTTATTCCTACATATGTCGCACATAATGTATCTACTAACTATTAAAAGTCTATTTTTGCTGCTTTAAATTTTTTCTTTCCTTATGTCTATTATATAAAAGGAAAATATCAAAGATATTTTACAAATGTTACAAGTTTATTCCTTATAGATAACATAGTAGACAATTATAAATCACATTGGTTTAATAACATGAACTGAACATTCATAAATAACTGAAGGAATACTGTATACCCTCAACAATTATCAATTATTGAACTTTACCAATCTTCGCTTCTGAAGCGAATAAACTTTTCTTGAAGAAGTAGTAGTCTTATTCATTATAATACGGAATTTTAAAAACCATAGTTTATGATTATACAAAATATGGGCCTAATAAGAACAAAAGTAAACCCCTTCGGCTTCCAATTATATCGTTATTTCTAAGAGTTTACGAGTATTGATGGCAAGTATTTACACATAAAGTGCCAAATATCAATTACAAAAGTGAAATATGAAAACTGTTATTAATACTTATTAATCTACTGCGAACGGAAATATCTTGTTTTAGAATTTTTCCTATAGAATTTTATAAAATTTTTTCATAAATTTTATATAAATTTAATTTACAATTCTTCGTGTTTCGAGACATCATCGACAATTTCTGCAATAAAGAGCAAACGTAAAAATTTCGTGAAAAAAAATACACACTATATATATATA